CGTTAGCGACGAATTGCAAGCCAGGAACACGCTTCCCCTCTTTCCAGGTCGTAGCGCACTGCAGTGGGCAACCTTGGCAGTTCCAGCGAAAACTACCCTCAGACGGACGTTTCCGCATCGTCACCTTCCCAGGCGACATCGCGCAGCCAGCGCGCAATAAGCTCGTCAACGACCTCGGCGAGTGGCTCGCAAACGACTTGCTCCCCAAATACGCGCGCATGACCCTATCACCAGCCTCCTCGTTGTTCAAGACAGAACAGGACCCCTCGATCATCGATGTGCTGATGGTACACACGGCGAACCGGGGTGAAATTGAGATCCTGCGCGATTTGCATGATGTCTATCACCCGTTCGATTCCAAGCTCGGCTGGGACTATGATAAGATCTTCTCTGACGAGGAGAGTCACCATGATGGGCATGGACGTGCGTATGAAGGGTACGGCGTCGATCCTGAAAAGGGCGCTTTGGTTGTGGTTAGACCGGATGGGTATGTTGGCCTTGTCACGAGTATGGAAGAAGATGGCCGGGAAGAGGTCGCGAAGTGGTTCCGGGGTGTATTGAGGCCTGTAGCATAGAGGAATGGTTTGACAAAGATACTGGTGGCCCCGTCTTATACGAGCCCTGCACCTTTTACGGTCACAATGAGTGTATGATGACTCCAGCGTTCTGGGCTTGTCGTGTTCCCACAATGCTCACGGCTCGCAATTCCAGTTAGTTGAACTTGTTCCTTGGCGGGCCGCCGAATTCCTTACAAACCGACAACATGTACGCGCATAGAACGAGATCGCCAAGGTGACTGAGCCAGAGCCATCGGAGGATCAAGATAATCGTCAGGTACTGTACGCCATGTGAGTGAAATTCCACCTTTTTGCGGTGTCTTGACAGATCCCAACGCGTAGAGTAGAATGACGGGCCTGATGGTCCCGATCTGTTGGCGCGACAACAAGCGTACATGATGCCTGTGAGTTATCGTGCTTTTGTAAGTTACCTAATAGATAGGCGATCTACTTGATCAAACACAGCGCGATCGATGGGATGAAGCAGCTGGTGGAGAAGTGCAGCAAGTGGTTGGGTGACTTAACAGGCGTAGGGTAGATGTAGTCGGACAGTTTGAGGATTTATTTTGATCGCAATTGCGGGGAAGGGAGGGGAAGGGAAGGGAAGGGAATACTTGGATACTGTGGCAGTATCTACTTCGACACGCGTTTTGTAGTTTTGTATTGTGTCGGAGGCCAGTATGTAGGAATGCTTCCCGTAAATCAAAGTATCGACATGTGTATATCTTGGTATAGAGATACATTATGACTCCGTAAATATCCCGTATCTAATTCCCTTCCCCTAATCTACCTACCTACGTTACCTATTCGAAGAAGCCGTTAACATACGGTGATACTACCGTAATTATTACGGTGGCTACAGTAATCGACTCATCTCGGTGGCCCGCGGGGAAGCGACGCTCACCTTTTCTTTACCCGAAATGCTTCGTACAACACAGATTGAACATGTCGAATTCAGTCGAATGCAACCGCCAGAGCTTGACGATTAGTTGATTACCTTAGTTGAGTGAATACGTAACGGGTCCAGGCCTACCTTCATATCGAGGACCTAAGGGCGCTATGAAAAGCTTCCCGAGCGCATGGCTCGCCGAAGTTGCTAGTTGACCGACTTACCTCCTACCTACCGTTATGTTGAACTGGTTGGGGAACATCACTTGCCAGTTATGACTGTCAATGTGTGTGAGCAGGCTCAATGGATGACGGAGCAGATAGAGACAGGTCACGACTGAAGTGGACACAGAAACGACCCGGTCGGAGTCTCCTTCGTCTATGCCTGTGTCTGTCTCGGGTATCTACGACTTGGCTAACACCTACTTTTATAGTATGCCTCACCCGGGCTATCCGGAAAGAGTGGCCGTGAACAAGGCAGGTGTCAGGTCTTCCCTTGGGGTACGGGGCACCTATAGGTATCTCGGTTCATCATATCGATTCAACCATCCTTTTCAAAGAGTATTACCCAAAGCATCAGGTGGACTAGGCATACTACCTGCCTAGGGACCTCGGTATAATACACTCTACTTCCCTGACTTCGCTTCTTCCACCGTTCTACAGGATATTCATTGAGCATCTGGATTATACCACTGAATACACGAAGCCAAGTACGTTTTACAACAAAGAAGTTGACAGCATGGAGAATGCGAATAAACGTCCCAAGCTCATGCCCGGCTGGGCGTGTTTACCGTGCGCTCAAGCGATGAGCACATGTGTGTTTAGTTACAACACTGATATCTGCGATCGGTTTGCATTCCGTTCTACGTGTTGCTACACGATGTGGAGCTAACCGGGAGCGTTTTCTATAGATGCCTCCGCAGAGGCGAAGACGGCCAAGCTATGAACTGCCGATTCGCGGACGAGGCCCGGGCTTACGACCTCTATGAGACAGCAAGCCCTACGCATGAAACGCAAACCATAGACAGTTGGATTAAGTCCATGGCGGATGCTGTCCCGCCCCGTCACGAGCAGAGTGACCGTCCAACTACCTCGGCTCCGGCGCCGGTTGAGCCACTCGTACCCATCTCCGTCTCCATCCCCCTCCCCCTCTCCCTCTCCCCAACTCCGCCTATCATAACCCCCCAACAAGCAGAGCAATCCAGGATATTCTTCGTATCTACAATGCTACCATGTTTCCCCTTTATTCACCTTGGCCCCGATGCGTCCACAGAATGGTTGCGCCAGAACAGGCCCTTCCTATTCCAGGCCATTGTCACAGTGACCACCTTCTCGGCACAAGAGAGGGCAGCATTAGCTGACCATCTGACACATAACTTCTTGGCATCCCAATTCAAGGGCGAGCTAAGTATAGACCTGCTTCTCGGAGTATTGGTCTATCTAACCTGGAGCCCGGACCTCTTTCTTGGCAAAACAGATCTGGTCTCCCGCCTCATGACGCTGGCCACATCGTTGGTATATGATCTACGCATACTCAAGCCATGGCCGTATGTTGAGCAATTGATCATATCGAAGGAAGAGGGACCTTACGAATCTGCTCACGACGCCGGCAATGGCTCCGTGGAAGGAAATCAAGCTCTCCTAGCCTGTTTTGTCTTGAGCTCCAAGTAAAGTCTTCCGTTCCCTACCTATACAGTACACACTAGGTGGACAAAACATGCTGACATACCTGAACCTGGCAGTATCTCGACCCACATTGGGCGCCAGGATGCCTTACGATGGACGCCTCGGATGGAAGAGGCATGTCGTGCCCTCGAAAACAGTGACAATGCGTGGTCTCTTGAAAATCAGGGTTTCGTGTACCAAGTCCGATTGCACGCGATAAAGCAGAGGGCCATCTGTGCTCGAGACGATGAAGCTTTATCTGTTAGCGCGGCTTCAACAATACTCACCCTAGCGCAGCTTAGAGATATGAGGGTAGAGGTGAAGAATAGCTATTCTTCTGTAAGATATCCTTTGATTGAAGGTCATCGAGGTGAGATTTACTTGGACAATCGCTCACCTGATGTTTGGCAAGACGATGGCTGACACTAGGGCCTGGACGGTGTCCGGCCATGTGCACAGGTATGTTCCAGATGTACAAGCTATACGTCGAGATATGTATAAGCCAGCTGGCATACTCGGTAAGCCTTGGTCCGTCAGGATGCCGTGGACTTGAACACAACCCACAAAGAATCAGGAGCCTGTGCAAGACTGCTAAATGTCTCGTGTCGTGGTTCATACACTTCGTGGCAACGCCCCCCTCCGACTTGGTCGGCCTTCCATCTCACTTCTGGTCGCAGATGCTCCAATGCCTGGCGATTGTGAAGTATATACATTCGCTCCGGAATCCGGCGCAATACCAGGGCGTGCGCAGTTACATCGATATTGCCCCTACGTTGTTGTTGGTGATAGAAAGGCTTATGATGGTTAGCCAGGAGCCGAATGTCGGAAGCGAAGACGGCTTTTTCAAGCTCCTGGGCAGGTTTTTACGGGATTTTTTGGCCTGTGTGCTGAGGCGGCAGGGGTCCACGGATCGGCAGGAAAGGGAAGTGGACAGGGTCGATCATATCCCCGAGTTGGACCAGATGGGATGGTTGCACATGATGGATTTACAGAGTGATGTTTGGCGGGACGAGATTCTAGCTGAAAATCTTGTCTCTTCTTCTTCTTCTTCTTACGACGAGTCGACTTCATCCGCCGAGCAGGCCGCTACCGGTCATGCTTGAATGCAGTCAGCTATTGTCGCCTCTACTATTTCCATAACCTGGAGGCTTACTTGGTTCGTCAGCTACGGAACAGCACGCTTCCCCTTGGCTTGGACTCGTTGGGCAAGAGGTATGATGGTGTTTAGTATCGGTTTAGCTAGTACGAATAGACATTATACGCCGGACTTGTGAGGTGCAAGCCTATTGGTATCAAGGAACGACTGGATGACTGGATGACTGGATGACTGGATGACTGGATGACTGGATGACTGGCTCGATTGTGTGAACCATGATATCGCGTTTATTCGTTTCGGCTCAATGGCGCCAGGACGGATTGCGTGATTTTCCCAGCCGGGTGCCGCGTTGGCGGATTTTGACGGGGACGCAGTGATTCTGGAGGCCAGGTATCTGGCCATGTATCTATCTCTAGGTATCTCTTTGCACGCAAGGATAGCGACGTGAGCATACATAGGTACCTATCTAATTCGCTCACGACGACCTTTTCAAAGAACCAGGGCAGGGGAGGAATTATGAGGCTAGATGGGGAAAGCGGCTCCAACATCTGAACAAGAGAGCAGTAAGGTTATGTGTATGCCTACCTTATAGCCTACCTTATACCTACCTGGTTTCTGGCTTGTTGGTCTAGGTATGATTCTCGCCGGCTTAGATCTAACGTACATAGGTAGATGGGATCACGGATCATTGGGATTGGGAGGATAGGAGGATGGGAAAATAAGTAGATGGGAAGATAAGTGGATAGACGGAAGGGATATGGAGAAAGATATTGATGGTCAGTCTCTCGTGAAGTGTCTTCGTGGCTCAGTTGGTTAGAGCGTTGGTCTCATATTTTCGATGTGATCCAATCCCAGGTTGGGGTATCCAAAGGTCGTGAGTTCGAGTCTCACCGAGGACATGGTTTTTTTTTTTTTTTTTTTGTGGACTTTTTTGTTTGGATTGGTTGTTGGGGTGGATGAGGGAGCATGGTGATGTATTAGTAGTAATAACGTGTGATCATGACTCTAGTCAGTCAGTCTATGTGTTGGTTGGGGTTCGGCAGCATCTCGGATGATCGGAAAGAAAGGAATGGCCGCGTATGTATCTACTGATTCGCTACGTGATCGCCAGAGTCCAAGACTAGATACTGACAAGCGACCAACTAACGGGTAATTCTACTGATGGTGGGGAAAACGATGATGGCTTGGGAAGATGACTCCTGAACTTCCAAGGCGGTCGGCGGATGGTGATAGATGATAAACGTAGGCAACGCTTTGTTTTGATTGATGATCAATCTTCTAGCTTTCAAATGAGGCTATCATCATTTGCTCTTTAGATAGGTAACCGAAAGCGAAAACGGAATTCCTAGTAGTAGAGGTACTTCGGGGTCTAATGCGCCATGCGTGGTCGGGGTCGAAGATCTTGGTGAACTATCTAGGTTAGGTTAGATAACTGGAAGTCGGTGACATGGCGAGCCCAAGTCCGGTTTTACTTTGTATAGAATCGGGCTTGGAGGAAAGTCGAATATCGAATAGGGTGAGCTGGAGGGGATACGGGTTGTTTGTTGACGATCCGGTAATGGCGACTATGGAAGACAATTCATGAGGACGGAGGACGGACGGAAGGTTGGTTATCCGGACGGGTGATATTTTGCCTGTTCGCAGAGTGAGATGTATCTATCTAATAGTAAGTAGGTAATTTAGGGGAATTTATCGTGAATGGTCATCCATGATCATCTGGCCTGGCCTGGCGGCAAAAAGGATTCTATTCCCACAAAACTTCAAAGAATGTAAAATCTGTACTTACACTAATCTAGGTTAGATAGATAGATAGATAGCCTGGATGGATAGATACTTGCAATTCCACAGAAGTCTGGTGTGTTGAAAAGTATCGCCGATCATGTCGCCCCGCTTACCACTGTTACCAAGTTACCACTGCTACCATTACTTATACCGTTTAACTAACCGTTTACCGGGCCTTAAGTGTGCTAGAAGATACAAAATACAAGACGGAGTTCTCGCGAAGTTCTAGTCACGGTCACCCGCTGTCGTTGCTACCTACTTAGATACCTTACCTACTAGATCTCAACATCTGCCGGACTGCACGTGTGCTAACGATATTCAAGAACCAAGAATCTATCCGTCTCTAAGAAACTCTCCATCGACTCGTCGTCGACGTGTCGACTTTGGAAAACATTTTGGATAAATGGAAAAGCTTGAAACGAGAACTTTATCCCCCCCCCCCAAAATCTGGCGAATCAAATGATCGACCTTTTGCTTACCCCAAACAATATAAGCAAATCAACTCCCAATATAAACTTCACGATCTGCCTCTCCTCATTTTACCCCAACCTTTTCCCCAACCTTTTCCCCATACTTCTCCATACTTTCCCCATGCCATGCTCCCCCCCCCCCGTGTTATGTCCGGGAAACGGTTTTTCCATTCCCCCGGGGCAGAGAGGGGAGGGCCGGGCCATGTGACATCTATCTACGGGTTCCCTATTCCGACATGGAGACCTTGAACCCAACCCAATCAATATTCTTCGATTGACTGCACCCTTGTGAGGTCAAGGAAATCCGCCCACCTCGTGCAATTAGCCTAAAGTCGATGTCTGTCTACCCGGAAGCCCCAGGTTCCCTGTACAGGGGCCGATGAGAAGGAGACATGAAGATGGAGCCATTGACCCATGTTACTTTGCCCTCCCCGACGTCTTTCCCATGGGGGGTGTTTGGAGACGGGGTTTGGAGATGGGGTTTGGAGATGGGGCTCACGTAGTCGTGGTCTACTAGAGAGACGATCGGTTCCATGGAATTGGACATATGGGGTAAACTAGCAGGCAGTAGCATAAAACAGCCATGACCTCCCGCCCTCCTCGTCGTCTAAGAGGGAGGGAGGGCTTGAAAGGAGTTTATCGCTCACTCACCCTTCTTGCTGCCGCGTATTGTAAAATCCAAACATGCGTGGCGCTTGGTTTCTGGCCTCGCTAGGCTTCGGCCTGGCCGTCGCGGAAGACGGCATCAACGCTTGGCTGAGATATGCCAGACTCCCTGATACCCTCATTCCCGATGCCCTTATCCCCTCTCGTATCGTGGCGCTGAACAGCACACAGACAAGTCCCGTCTACGTCGCCGGCCAGGAACTGCAAAAGGGCATCCAGGGGATACTAGGAAAGGAGCTCCACGTTACTGATAAGCATCTCCAGGGGACTTCGATTGTGGTTGGAACGGCTGATGCTTTCCAGACTGCTGGCGTCAAAGTCGATGCTCCGACGCTCAAAGAGGATGGGTACTGGCTTCATAACGAGGGGGAGACAGTTCAGATCCTGGGACAGAATGAGCGCGGTGCGTTGTATGGTGCTTTCGAATACCTGTCGATGCTTGCACAGGGGAACTTCACCAAGACCTCTCACGCCATGAACCCGAGTGCGCCCGTCCGATGGGTGAATCAATGGGATAATCTGGACGGCACCATTGAGCGCGGATACGCCGGTCTCTCCATCTTCTTCCAGAACAACACTACCATCGCGAATACTACGCGAGTCGGCCAGTACGCGCGCTTACTCGCGTCTATCGGCATCAACGGCGTCATCGTCAACAACGTCAACGCTAATCCCTTGATCCTCGCGGACGAAAACATGGCCGGCCTGGGCAAGATCGCCGATACGATGCGGCCGTGGGGTGTGAAGCTGGGCATATCTCTCGACTTTGCCTCGCCGATGGAGCTGGGTGGTCTCTCGACATTCGACCCCCTCGACCCTTCTGTCGTCGCCTGGTGGAGCCAGCAGACCGACAAGCTATACGAGCAAGTCCCCGACATGGCTGGCTACCTCGTCAAAGCCGACAGTGAAGGCCAGCCCGGGCCACAGACATACAACCGCACGCTCGCCGACGGCGCCAATGTCTTCGCCCGGGCCCTGAAGGCACACGGCGGCATCGTCATGTTCCGGGCTTTCGTATACGATAACCAGCACCTCAACGAGTCCAACTGGAAAGACGACCGTGCCAATGCCGCCGTGCAGTTCTTCGACGGCCTCGACGGCCACTTCGATGAGAATGTCATTGTGCAGATCAAGTATGGGCCCATCGACTTCCAGGTCCGCGAACCTGTCTCGCCGCTCTTCGCTCATCTTCCCAACACGGCCATGGCGCTCGAGCTGGAAGTGTCGCAGGAATACCTAGGGCAGCAATGCCATCTCGTTTACCTCCCGCCCCTGTGGAAGACGATTCTTGATTTCGACATGCGCATCGGCGGCCAGAAGTCTGTTATTGGAGAGGACATCCTCACCGGCAAGCGGTTCAACAAGCCGCTGTCGGGCTACGCGGCCGTCGTCAACGTCGGTCACAACGCCACATGGCTGGGCACCCATCTCGCCATGTCGAACTTATACGCCTACGGCCGACTCGCGTGGGAGCCGACGACGGACGAACTGGACATCCTCGAGGACTGGACTCGCCTCACGTACGGGCTGAGCGGGAAGGTCATCGACACCATCACGCACATGTCCATGCAGTCCTGGGAGGCCTACGAGAACTACACGGGCAACCTCGGCGAGCAGACGCTCACGGACATCACGTACACGCACTACGGCGCCAACCCGCAGAGCATGGACAACAACCCCTGGGGCCAATGGACGCGCGCCGACAGCTTCGGCATCGGCATGGACAGGACCGTGTCCAACGGCACCGGCTACAGCGGTCAGTACCCGGCCGAAGTAGCGGCGCAGTTCGAAGATGTCGCGACGACGCCCGATGCGTTGTTGCTCTGGTTCCATCACGTCAACTACACGCATGTGCTGAAGAGCGGGAAGACGGTCATCCAGCACTTCTACGACGCGCATTACGACGGCGCGGAGACGGCGGCGTCTTTCCCCGTGCAATGGTCTTCGCTGCAGGGCCTGATTGACGAACAGAGGTTCCAGGAGATGCTATTCCGGCTCGAGTATCAAGCTGGGCACGCCATCGTCTGGCGGGACTCGATTGTGTCGTTTTATCATAATCTATCGGGGATCGCTGATACGGCCGGCCGGGTCGGACATCATCCCTGGCGGGTGGAAGCCGAGGACATGGAGCTCCATGGATATCGCGTGACGGGCACGAATCCGTTCGAGGCGTCGTCTGGATTCCAAGTGGTGCAGACGAACGATAACACCACCGCCGCGAGCGTGCAGACGACGCTGGCGTACCCGACCGGCCGATACGATCTCGCCGTCGCCTACTACGACTTATACGACGGCGAGGCGAAGTACGAGCTCTTCCTCAATGACCGCAGTTTGGGCTCTTGGGTCGGCGATCTCGAGCATAGGCTTGGATATACGCTGACGCGCGGCATCGATGCGCACTCGGCGACGCGCGTCACGTTCAAGGATGTGCAGATCCAGAAAGGCGATGTCGTGCGTATCGATGCGCTGCCGAATGGTCTGGAGACGGCGCCGTTGGATTACATAGCTGTTTTGCCGGCGGGGGTTGTGGATTGAGTGAGGCTTTGCTGGGGAAAGGGAAAGATAGCTAGAATAGTGAATTGATTTGGAAGAGATGGATTTTGGATGGCAATGGAATGTTTGCATCTAGTGTTTATCAATCACTTTTTTTTTTTTTTTTTTTTTTCTTCTCCTGTTTCCCTTTTTTGGGTGTCGGTGTAAAGGAGTGGTGAATAGTTATCTGATATCTGGTTTGAAGCCCGACACTCACGCAACGTTTCCATGCTGGCCGAAGCATCTCCACTTACCTCGGCAGCAACTTGATCATAGAGGCAGGTATGAACTGTACCTATAGGTAACTATACCTATAACTATAGGTACCTATACCTATATAAATCCCAACCTACGCGATACGACACATCTCAACCCCAATCATCCCGTCACAGATCTTGGGGCCAGCTATGTAGGTTTATACCCGTTAACTACATATACTACAACTGTTA